GTCTTCTTTGTTTATCGGCTTCATTTGCATCAGCTTCTTCTTTTTTTCTTTGTCTTTCACGTAAAATATGTTTTTTCAATGCATCACGCATTTCTGTTGGTAAATTTGGACGTTCAATAACAATGGCTGGCATCTGAAAAATAGTAAATTAAATAAATGATGAACAAATAAACATTTCATTAGTATCTAGCATAATTTTTTGGACATATTTCTTCACCATTCTATTAACGCTTCAGTAGTTTATATTGGTTGACATTTTCATGAATGAGTTGCTCTAATGAGAAATGATTAATTGCAGTCCAACATGACAAATTAGAATGCACTTTCGGCTTATTTATATCTTTAAGAAGAATCTCTATAACTTCATCATCCTAAGAGATACAGAACTGAGAACAATTTCAAATTAATATCAGTACTAATGCATCGTTTTTATTCGAATAGAGTTTTGAAATTCACTTCTATTCATTCATTAAAGAAATGAATGATTAAAAAATCTCGTCGCAAAATAGTTTATTACTCTCATTTATTAGACCTTTCAAACAAAAAAATCTATTGGTTCTATGTAGAACCGAATGAAATAAGTTTCTATGTTTGGATTAAAAATTATATTCTGAAACGAATGGCAAATAAATTGAGACATGGATTTTTTTATTGAAATCCAGAAAAAAAAATATATTACAATGGCATATGCATACTATGTTTTAATAGACTTTTTACAAGCACATAACAGATAACGTAAGTTAGCACCATCTGTCTCACTTAAATTATATAAGTATGTTTATTCAATACGGATAAAACTAAATTAGGTCGCCCTCCCAGAACTGAAAATTTTTTATCCTATAATAAAAACTCAACTTTGAGTTTTTTTTCAAAAAATAAATTTTGTGTGAGCGGCATTCTCAATCCTCAAGAAATGTAATGAGGAAATAGTTCATTTATTATAACAGAACGACAATCAATGATCGTATATCAAAAACATCTGTCACGATTTGTGATGCACAATAGGGATTTTAAATAGAACAGGCAAATATATGGTTCTTTAACATAGAAAGATCTTATTTGAAACAGTTTGATTAATTCGGTTTATAAGATAATTTCCTAAACTCCGTAGAATATTCAACTAGAATCTTTATTTTTGTTTTGAACAACTTTTTTCTCATGGTTTCGATAAACTTTCCAATTTTGGTCACGCATATCTCTAGAACAGATATGAGCTTTGACAGTTTTGTTATTCACAGGACATTTCTTTCTTCAATTTAACGTTGTTATCATAGGACGAGTACTCGATCTATTGAAATGTCTTTCTGATTAATTAATAAATTGTTTTTCAAATATTTGATAATAGAATAAATTATATCTACTAGATTCTCAACAATTCATTAACCTATTCTATTCTTCGCCTGCAACATCGACAACATAACAGAGCTGCTTCGTATTGTCAAAAAGAGTTTTAAAGGGTAATTTTTCCGAAAAATTTTTGAAGACCTACGTTAAATACAAACTGTCGTCAAGGTTGATGCATTTCACTATTTGGTTCGTTGCTAACTTGATTAAAAAGTTTCTCATCAGTATCGATTTGTATGGCAGTGAATGTTTTTTTTTTGTGAATATCAAGGTACATAAGAGGACGTTCCTACCAGACGAGGATAGGAAAAGCTGAGTTTTACTGTTCTGGTGGGGACTAAAACGATCACAAAAGTTCAAACTTATTATTTTAGATTTGGCTCATTTGTAAGGTTTTTTGATTTCATGCCCTACTGTATAATGTTTTAGATCATGATGCATTCGTTCATCCGCATGGAATCGTTCTACATTCATAAAGTAACATAATATTGTATGGGAACACATTCGAAGGAGGCGCTATTAGAATAAAGTTCTGAACAGATGGACGAAATATCATTGACAACAGTGTGAATCATTTAGGAATCTTCCCTCCTAAGTGAAAATGCGTCTCTAGCTGTGAACAGATGAACTTCGTCGAGCACGTTGGTTTAAATAGTCAAGACGGTGATCGTTCATCATCATCGTATTGAAAAACAACTATAATAATTTAAGAAGATGAAAAAATTGCTTATTATCCATCCTTCAAAGTAGAACGTTCTGTTTCAGATTCAGCTTGGCTATTGACCACAGTTATTTGCAGTTTCTCAATAGAAGGAAATAGAAGTTAATTCAACGAGAAGGTTTTAGAACTGGCTATGTACTGGAACTCGACTTTGATCGAGTCCGAGATATTTCCATAATTACCCACATACTATAAGTAGCGTTTGAGACACGATCTAAAATAATAGCCTATCTGGTCGAATTGAATAGGACACAGAGTCGACTTCTAGCTGTTGGATTCCAAGTTCGAACTGTAATTTTAGTTTGCTGCATAGAAACCGTATAGGGCATTTCCAAATTACAGCACCTCCTAAAATTCTTTTCGTTTTTTAAAAATAATCTTATAATATGAGCTGCTTAAAATTACAGCAATCTGTTTGGACAACATTAACACGGTATCATGTGATTTTAGAATAGCTTGTACACACTGTTCTAGCTTATTAACGTCATGATACGATCATGTGTTGTAAAACAGAATTTGCTAGAAACGTGTACAGATTCTGTATGATTCACCCTAAAACTACGTCACATTGTTATGTCATTTAAGTGACATCAATCATGAATAAATAAGTATAGAATAATTCAAAATACAAGAAAAATACTGAAAATCACTCACTTTTATAGATTTAGCTATGTTTCTTGAAAAAAAGAAAAGCTTTTTCAGATTAAGTGGAAATCGCTAAATCTCGCAGTGGGATAGTGCTTTATCACACCCCGTTCATCTCGGTTCGCTAACATGAGATCCAAGCCAACTGTAACCTAGCGCTGGAGCTCATATGGGAGCTAACAAAAAGTCTCAAAAACAAATAAAAACCTAACATGAGGGTTGGCTTCATGGGACTTTGCAGTCGACTTATAGCCATGTTAATGAATTTTTCACCTACAACTGTCCCCATAGATAAATCTAATGACGTTTAAAATATCATAAAAGTTTCAGTCACAAAAGAATATTCTTTTTTTTTTTCAAATATTGAAGTTCCAAAAAATAGTCATTTGATGACAGATATGTCACAAATTTAGGTTGAAAATTCACTACAATGGCCATAACTTGACTTCAGAGATCCATGAAGACGAACTGTCTTTACAATTTTTAAAGTTTTATCGTGAGCTCAAAACGCGAGTTACAACTGGCAATGTTTCCTCGTAAGATATGTCAAATCTATCATTAATAACTTCTTAGCTATTTCAAGTCTACTATTGGTATGGGTAACCAGCATATTAGTATGAATTCGTTTTTACAAAGTTCATCTAGCAATAAGCTATCGATACCTGACCATCATTCAAAGCATTTGGGTTTTATTATCGGAAATATTTATCTAGACTGAATTCAAACTGATATGCTCGTAACACGTATTGATAGTAGACTTGAAATAGATAGAAAGTAGTTGCGAATAGCTTCGATATATTGTTGAACTACAGGATTTTCGCTATTTTCTCTTTAATCGTACCTTATTAGATAGATCCTATTCAGACGAGAGAAAATGCAAAACGGATTCGTGCTCATGGATCTTTTTTCTTGAGTTATGACTACTTTAGTGAGTTTTTCAATACATACATACCATAGCTTCTCGTCAAAATTGACGTTTGAGTTCAAATATTGCATAAATGAAAATTTCCAAGGAGACTAGTTCAATGTGAAAATGTTGGAATCGGAGATAATAAAAGTGTGGCACTGTCATACTAAACGAGTTTCATATACATTTATGAAATAATCAATAATCATTGTCGAGTTTTATGTTGAACTGAATCTGGATCATTAATGGGTATTTCTCTGATAATAAAATAAATAGTCATACGCACAAGATATTTGTTCATCCAACAAATATTATAAAGATATTGTTGGTTCTAAAACTCTTGAATAAAATACTATGTTCTCTAAACATTCTACCATCTTTGATTATGTTGTTCGTCGCCTCTAAGGCGTCGTTTGTACTCGATGCATTCAATTGTATACTTTCATATCAACAAACCTATTTATTTTAATCATTGATCATTTAAATGGTAGCTATAAATGATCTGTCATTCTCGTGTGATCGAATAGTCTTCATAAATCAATGAAAATTTTAAATAATTTTACACAACACATATATTCAAATATTTAATGAATTTAAAAATGTGAACTGAGAGAAAAGAAAAAAAAAACAACAACATCAAACAACAAGAATAATCAAAGCTTAAGTTATATATCAATAATCATGACTACTGTTGAGATTGTAATGGATATCCATTCATTATTGAGCCATTTTTTGATGACATTAACATTTGATGATGAGAATAAACATTTGCTTGTTGTTGATTTGGATCAACTATTGGTTGAGGTAAAAATGATAATGGATTCAAATAATCTAAATATTTATTCAAAAACAAAAATATTTTTCTTTTTTAAAGTTTTGATTTTTACATACTTGGCATTTGTGATGGTCCACGTACACGTGGCATTTGATTGGCATATGAAGCTGATGCTGCAGCTGCAGCAGCAGCTGATGATGGAGTCATATAATTGAGATAAGCAGAAAATGCTGATTGAGTTTGTGGTGAAGCATAACCAACAGCTGAGCCAGCAGCTCCATTACGAACAACTTGTGATGAAGATGGTGGATATCTTGATCCAGGACTTGT